GGCGTCACCCGTGTCGGTACCCCCGGGATCGGAGCCGGGGGTCCCCTGAAAACCTAAGGCATTGCACCCAAGCCGAAGGCCAGTAGGGGGGTGGAGCCCAGTGCCCGCGATGAACATGCCGCGGGCCCGAGGGATATGTCTTCCCCCCGGGGGAACTCGGGGCCTCGTCAAGAGATTGGCGGGGGGGGGGGGCACAAAACCAAAAACAAACCACATCTGACAAGGATACTCAAAGGAGTAAGGAGAAGGAAAAGGAGAGTACCGGCAAAGATGAAGAAGAGATAATGGAACTGGAACGGTCCTCGACAGATCAACTCTGTCAGACAATATACATAGAGGATCTGTTACAAGACCCACAACCAGAGGGACCGAAAGAAAGCAAGGAACCACAACCATCATCATCCTTCTTCAAAAAACCCGGTCCAAGATCCTATAAAGGGAAAATGGCGGAACTCTACAGCAGGGACACCTCTGCGATGGACACCGACACACAAGAGATAAGCTCGTCGGACAGCGAGGCGACTGACTATGAAAGAACGAGAAGAGGAAAGGCGAGGACTGAGGAGGACTCTGAGGTGACTTCCCCTCCCGAGAAACTTAACATAGGGAACAGGGGCCCTCAAAGAGCAACAACAAGCAGGAAAAGGGATAGACTGACGTCAGAAGCAGAGTCAGACTACAGGAAGAGCAGGACAACAGGGGAGTACGTCGGAAGGAGGGAAGCGATCCTCAGATACAATGAGGCGAAGGAAGAAGCGCTGCGACTCGATAGGGAGAAGTTGATTAAGGAGTACAGCAGCTATGAACTCTTCAAGAAGTCGAAGGTGAACTTAGAAAAAATAAGAGAACAAATGGAGGACAACACCATTGAGGAGCTAGCGATCAAGGTGAACGAAAATATGACGAAGGTACTCAGGGTGGCAAAGACGTCCAGCAACCTGAAAGGGACCTTTCAAAAAAAGTCTCAGAATTGCTGCGGCGTCCTCCCTGGGAATCTTCGATATCCTTAAGGATAAAGCCACGCGTTCAAAGGAAGAGGTCAAGTCGGACGAGATCAAATCTCTAAAAAGAGAGATCTCTAAACTGAAAGCTAAGCTCGAAGAAGAAGTAGAAGGGGAGCGAAGAAAAGTCCTGCAGGCAGCGGGGGAGGCAGAAGCCTATAGACATGAATTGCAAATACTTAAAAGAGAGAGGCAAGATAGAAAAAAGGATAAGACCCCGAGTCCGAAGGAAAGAGATAAAGAAAGCAGCAGTAAGAGCAAACAATCAAAAGAAACACCGAAGAAGACGACTAAAAGGATACCGTCAGCCAGCATAAAAGCGAGGGAAAATCTTATCACATCTGAATCCGAACACATGGAGGTGGACGAGAAGTCACCGACAAACAAGGTGACCTTAGAGAAACCGGAAGAATGGCCAAAGGCAATCCGGCCTACCCTCTGTGGAAAGAGGAAGATAATCCAGGAGGACCCGAAAACCCAAGAGGCAATCTACAACGCCCACAAGAAGTATATTTCGGACACGGGCAAGAGTGCAAAAGAACAACGCACAGAGCACAAAACGGGAAAAGAGGATATCAAAAGAAGTAAGAGGAGCGAAACAAGCTACGACCAAATGGAACTGGCGGAGTTAATAAGGAAGATAGTGTCGGAAGAGTTAGTACGACACAATAGAAAACCGACAATTACGGATATACAAATTCCTAAGGTCCCGGTAGTACTCGAGAGGAGCAGAGGGAAGACGGCGGAAAAGAACACTCACACGAAGGGAGATGCCCATAACAAATCTAGTGAGAAGGGGACACAAAAACCCGAGAGGGAAAAAAGGAAAATATCCATTAAGGAAGAGACAGATAGAGAAGAGAAGGACAGTGAGCCGTTATGGTCAAAGGTCATAGGCAGAAGAGAGAAGAAAGCGCAAAGCATACAAGGAAACTCGCGGGAGATGAGAAATAAAGTACCCTCATCATCAACACCGAAGAGAAGTACTATAACAGTTCGCACGGAAGGGGATAGAAACAGCAGGAAAGTCCCCAAAACAGCGGCGGTACAGATAAGCTGCCGAGGGGAAACAACCTACGCGGAAGTCATGCGAATCGCGAAGAATAAAGTGGATATCGACAGTCTAGAGATATCAGAACTGCGACCAAGAAAGGCGAGAACGGGGGCTTTGCTACTCAAAATCCCAGGGACAGAAGGGGGTAAAAAAGCAGATAGATTGGCTGAGAAATTGAAGGAAGCTCTGACAAGTGAACAGAACGTGTTGGTAACACGCCCAGAGAAAGTCGCGGAAGTAAGGCTTAAAGACCCTTGAGGAGTCAACCACGAAGGAGGACATCCTGACGGCAATTGCCAAAAAGGGAGAATGTCCAAAAGACTCCATAAAGATAGGAGAAATAAACCAAACAAACACAGGACTGGGTACAGTTTGGTTAAAGTGCCCACTGGCAGCTGCCAAGAAAGCAACGAAGGATAAAAGAATCCGAGTAGGCTGGACAACAGTCCGGATCGAACTATTACCAGAAAGACCGACTCAATGTTTCAGATGCCTAGAGATAGGGCATGTGAGACACCAATGTAGAAGCAATAAGGATAGGACCACAGTGTGTTATAGATGTGGACAAGAAGGTCATAATGCCAGAGAGTGCAATGATCAAGTCCATTGCATCATATGCGCAGAGAGAGGCCTAAAAGCTAATCATAGGATGGGGGGACAGGCTTGTAAACCCCCAACAGGACGGAAGAATAAAGGCAAGCTAACTCCACTAAAGACAGGAAAGGAAACTACTGGAAACGATAGCATGATGACGGTCGATGTCGACATGACGAGGAAGAACCAGACCGAAACAGAAAAGGTAACAGGTGAGATTGAAACCAGCGTTGCCAAGTCTATGCATGTAGTGTGAATGAAGCAAAGGCTATGGAAGAAACGCAAGACTCGGTGATGGAAAGCATGGAGGTAGACGACTCCCAGGAATGGAAAACGCCGGAGGCAAAACCAACCCAACAGCTGGACTGGCCGAAACAAGGGAGAAGCTGGGATACGGAAGATAAAACAATGGAACCAGATAAGGAAGGCGGAGAAGGAGGAATCTCCACAGCAATAAATAATGGTTAATAAAATCTTTCAATCAAATATAAACCATTCGAGGGATGGACACGACGTATTGCTACAAACAATGGCGGAAGGGGATTTCGCGTTAGCACTAGTCGCAGAACCGTATACCATCCCAGAGGATCATCCCCATTGGTTCTCAAACAGAAGGGAAACGGTAGCCATTACATGGAGAATGGCAAACGAAGCGATGCCATGTACACCGTATAGTAGAGGGGAACATTATGTATCAGTAAGATGGGGGGACATGCTGGTGGCAGGAACATATCTATCTCCGAGCATGAATGCCACTCAATTCGAGGACGCAATGGAGGAATTGGAAAGATGGGCAATCCAAAATATGGACAAGCCGATTATAATTGCAGGAGACCTAAACGCGAAATCAGATATGTGGAACTCGGAGGTCACCAATGCCCGAGGAAATATAGTGGCAGAATGGGCTAGCTCATTAGGCATGTGCTGCCTAAACAAAGGAAGGGAAAGTACCTGTATAAGATTAAACGGGGAATCGATAGTAGATATCTCCTTTGCAAATCCAGCGGCGGCTACAAGAGTCACCGACTGGTTTGTCTTTGGCAGGGAATCCAAATCGGACCACAGGTACGTGGAAATTCACCTACAGTCCACTAGAACGCAGATCCACAAGCGAAGTCTCCCTAGAGCAAAAAGATGGGCGACAAAGAAGCTGGAGAAGGACAGGTTCTTAGCTGCAATAATGATAAGAACATGGCCGAAAAAGGAAGTAGGAGCAATAGAAAACCTTGACGAACAAGCCAAATTTTATCAAAAAGCTCTAACAGAGGCATGCGACATAGCCATGCCTAGGACGAAACCAAGACCTAGAAGAGCTATCCCGTGGTGGAGTGAGGAGTTGGACCGTCTCCGCCAAGAACTCACCAATGCAAGGAGGCAGATTAAAAGATTAAGGCGAAGGAGGGTCTCACCAGAGAATGAAGAAATTCAACAGAAAATAGATGGATACAGGCAGGCCAGAGACAACTTTGGCAAGGCCGTTAGAAGAGCCAAGGCCAAGGCCTGGGAGGAGTTCACACTCTCCCTAAATGACGAACCATGGGGGCGACCATAAGGTCGTCCTCGGGAAACTAAGAAGGTGGACTCCTCCCTACACGGAATCTCTGGAGAAGGATACGCTAGAGAGAGTGTTCTCCGGCCTATTCCCACACCTGCAAGATCTGACTAGGAAATGGAAGGAGCCGGAACTCCCCATGGAGGGCAGCACGGCATGGAACAATGACCTTGAGGTAACTCATGAGGAACTGCTGCTAGCTGTAAATAGAATGAAGAAAAAGAATGCAGCCCCTGGGTACAATGGTATCCCATCAAAAGCGTGGACGCTCGCAATAGAGGTCATGGCAGGGGACCTAATTAGGCTATTTACAGAATGCCTAAAAAGGGGCCAATTCCCCAGGACCTGGAAAAATGCGAAGCTAGACTTACTCAGGAAAGTGGGGAAGCCAGACGACCAGGCAGCTGGATATCGTCCGATATGCCTCCTCGACGACGAGGCGAAGCTGCTGGAGCGGATCATTGCGGAAAGGATAACCAAACATCTGGACGAGGCAGGCCCGAACCTGGACCCATCTCAGTATGGTTTCAGGAAGGGGAGATCAACAGTGGACGCGATAAATGCCACGAGAGGATATATGGAAGAGGCTTTCTCGATCGGACACAAGGTAATCGCGGTGTCCCTAGACATCAAGAACGCCTTCAACTCGCTACCATGGAGTACCATAGGACGAGCGCTCAAAAAACATAAGATACCATTGTATCTGAGGAGGGCCGTAAGGAGTTACCTCGCAGATAGGAAACTATCTTACAACAAAGACGATGGATCGGTATGTGAAAGACCGGTTGAAAGGGGAGTGCCACAGGGATTCATCTTGGGACCGCTCTTGTGGAACTTCGGGTTCAACAACATCGTGAATAAGAAGGAACTCCCAACAGGAAGCGCGGTTATCTGCTATGCCGATGATACAATCGTGCTAGCATCAGGAATGGACTGGGAAGAAACCACGGCATATGCTAACATCGCAACGGAGGTTATCATTACCAGAATCGATGATCTGGGATTGGAGGTTGCTCCATCCAAAACGGAGGCGGTCGCATTTTACGACCGAGGTAGACCACCGGGTGCGACACTCCGTATAGCCGGGGTTGATGTCCAGATAGGTATGAGTATGAAATACCTCGGACTCATACTGGATAGCCGATGGACTTTCGAGAACCATTTTGCAACGTTGGCACCAAAACTGGAGAAGGCCGCCCTCTGCTTAAGCAGACTTCTTCCCAACCTGGGAGGACCGGAGAACAGAGTAAGAAGGCTCTACGTACAGGTTATTACATCAATGGCACTGTACGGGGCACCTGTGTGGGCATACCAGATTGGCAAAAGCAAAAGGACACTACAAGTCCTAAGACAAACGCAAAGAAGGATCACAGGCCGACTCGTCAGAGCCTACAGAACCACATCGTGGGTTACAAACACAACCTTGGCAGGCACCCCTCCATTCGAGTTGGAGGCTAAAAGGCAGGAGGAGGCCTACGAAAGGGTTACTGATGTAGCCGGACTCGAAGCTGTCTGGCGCTATTCGGTCCCGCTTCTTTGGATATGTCCCGGTCGCCACTCCTTTTTACCCTCCAAAGGAGAAGGTTCACTCGGCTGGCCTTGGAAGTATCCAGCCTCGTTCGTCCCTTGCACCACTGAGTATACTCGTCCCGAGTTGTCTCGGTCGCATAGGGAAAGGTATATTGTTGAATCACAACTCACTATTTGCAGACAACTAACACAATTTGGTTTTATTCATTAAGTTTCGGCAATTTGTTTCACAATGTTTGCGCTTATTCGTCTAACGCCGGATTTTTTACATGGGCCTGAGCCCCCGTTCGCTCTAACGGTCGCTGCGGTTGGACCTTGCAACGGAACGGTCCCGCTCAACACTCTCGGATTGCCACCGGTCGCCTCGGTTTTTTTTACATGGACTCTATCCCCGAATACGAACTCGACCGATGCACCGATCCGTGTCCCATTCATCCGCACGCTGAATATTTTGCGCTTCTACTACTCTGACTCGCGAAAAGCTCTGCTTACGAATCTCAAAAGAGAATGGCCTCAATGCCTCTTACGAACCGCGCTCGATCGAATGGCGAATGCGAAAAAGGCCCCTTTCGCTTCTCTGCTCGCTCTCTTATACTGTCGCTCGCCCCCACTCTTGCGCTTGCGCCTGCGCGTTATCGCCTGGCGCTGTACGCGCTCGCATTGTCGCGTTCGCTCTGTGCGCTGTGAGCACTCACGCTGCTTATTCATATTATACGCTTATGTTCCTGCATTTTACAATTTTATAATTTTCTATTCTAATTGTTTTCTTTTCTTTTCAGGTACTCATCGACTCTGACGGATGCTACTTCTGGAGGTCTCCCGCTACAGTCATCGGTAATTATATAATTTAAGATTTATTTACAGGTTCGCGAAATTCCCCCGCTGCACCCCCCTTTCTATCTAC